GCCAGGTACAACATTATGGGCAACAAATAAGCAAAGTCCCGAACAAATGAAGATAAAAAAATTGATAAAGCATTCATTACTTGACTTTTAGATACATAATTTATCACCCTAATAATAGTTAAAATTTTCAAATGTCATAATTTTTCTTTTACTTCACAAAATTAATATTAATATTAATACACCATGGCTAAAAAATATCCACGTAGAATATACATTATTCCTTCAAAGCAATATTCTTTCGTATAGACAATCTAAACCAACCTTGTTATATTGCTTGCAAAGTATGCAATAAAAAAGTTTATCAAAATGAACAAGGAGCAGAATGCAATAAATACAAGAACTCAAATTTAGAATATCATCTAAGGTATGTAATAGTTCTACATAATAACATAAATTAATAATTTGCATTTACTAAATATCAAAGTTAAAACCTCATAATTTACTTACATTTGCGACATCTGTGAGAATATGAGTTCTATGATGTATTCAGTTTCCTTTTAAGCTTAGGAGTTAGAGTTCTATATAAGTGATGTATTCTTTGTTTTATTGATTCAGACTAATATACAGTTTCATTCAGAATACTTACATGGTATCAGAGTCGTCCCTAGAACTGTCACCATTGTTCTTTGATTCGTGCTCTCTCGGATTCACTGGTTGTCTTCAACTTGGGTGGGTGAACCATCTGTTCCTAATTCGGAGTCACGATCGCTAGTCGAAGTTGTGTTTGCTAGTCTTCACAGTACTCTCAGTGTGTCGACTTGGTGCTTCTAGTCGTCTCCTTTCTCTGGTCTAAAGTCATGAAGGCTCTCTAGTTTTTTGGTCTAAAGTCGTAAATCTCTCGTCTAGGACTGATCATGCTCGCGAGGGTCCTTCTTTGTTCTCTCTCTCTACTTTGAGGTAGCAAGGGCTCACTCGCGCTCTGCTCGATCTTCTGGTTGTCTTCGACTTCGTTCTCTCACTTACACAACTTATAAATATTAAATATAATATTTATAAATTTTTTATTAATATATAAATATTTTGTAAACGATTCACTCAAATGTAATTTCTCTTAACCATTTACCAATTAGACTTATTTATATATAAATTCTAAAGAGTAATGTCTCACATGCGTGTGAGAAGCACACAATGTAATTTCATATGAATCCCACTGTGAGACATTTAATAAATTTTTTGATAAAATTTTTAAGATCTCTAGTATTTTTGAATTCTAAATAATAAATTTATCATTATATATTTATTCATAAAAATAAAAAAAAATAAATTTATTAAATGATAAATTTATTAATAAGATTTAGTTGATACCAAAACTATCCGGTACTGAACATTAAAATATATATATATATATATATATATAAAATCTGCTGACAATAGTCACCGACCCCGTTTGGTAGAACTGTGGAAAAGTAATTATAAATTATGCTTTAACAGATTATGACTTATAGCTGTGAACAAAAGCTGTTAACCTGTTTGGTGCAGGTGTAAGATTATAGATTTAAATAGCAGAGTAGTGTTTGGTTAATAAGCTGTAAAATAATTTTTTATTGTGTAATTGTCCTTTTTGTCCTTATATGATTTTAAAATGATTATTGTCTTTTTTTTTCAGTTTTAATTTAAAAAAAATTATTTCATTAATAAAAGTTAATATAATTAGTATTAAAAAAATTATCATTTCATTAATAGTATCAATTAATATAAAATTATTTCATTTTTTCTTTATAAATTAATTAGTGGCAATTAATGGTTTAATAAGCATCAATTAATACTAAAATTATTAATAGTATCAATTAGTATAAATTTTTTTCATTTTTTCATTATAAATTAATTAGTGTCAATTAATGGCTTAATTAGCATCAATTAATACTAAAATTATTAATAGTATCAATTACTATAAATTTTTCTCATTTTTTTATTATAAATTAATTAGCGTCAATTAATGGCTTAATTAGCATCAATTAATATTAAAATTATTAATAGTATCAATTAGAATAAATTTTTCTCATTTTTTCATTATAAACTAATCGGTAGTACTACATGCACCAATTAGTGTACTAACTAGTGTATCAATACTAGTTATGACATTATTATTGACCCCATTCATTAATTACATTAGAAATACCAAAAACCTCTTAAATTATGTCATATAATCAATTGGTATATTAGTTAGTACACTAATTGGTGCATATAACATTATTCTAAACTAATTAGTGTCAATTAATGGCTTAATTAGCATCAATTAATACTAATTATTAATAGTATCAATTAGTATAAAATTATTTCATTTTTTCATTATAAATCAATTAGTGTCAATTAATGGCTTAATTAGCATCAATTATTATTTTTTTATTAATTTTTTTCATTACAATTAATAATTTATTAATTTCAATTATTAATTTAATAGAAGTTATAATAGTCAATTTTTTATGTCATTTAATATAAGTTATTTCATTTTGTATTTCATTTTTTTCTTCAATTTTAATTTTTTTTAAATTGTGATTATGTTTTTATTAATTTTTTTTCATTACTATTAATAATTTATTAATTTCAATTATTAATTTAATAGAAGTTATAATATTCAATTTTTTTATTTCATTTAATATAAGTTATGTCATTTTGTATTTCATTTTTTCTTCAATTTAATTTTTTTAAAAAAAATTGTTATTCTGTTTTTATTAATTTTTTTTTTCATTACAATTAATAATTTATTAATTTCAATTTTTAATTTAATAGAAGTTATAATATTCATTTTTTTATTTCATTTAATATAAGTTATTTCATTTTGTATTTCATTTTTTTTCTTCAATTTTAATTTTTTTTAAAAATTGTGATTCTGTTTTTATTAATTTTTTCATTAAAATTAATAATTTATTAATTTCAATTTTAAATTTTATTAATTTCATTTTTTTATTTCATTTTTTTGTATTTCATTTTTTAAATTTATTATTTTTTTTCCATTACAAACCCTAGCTATCGCCGCCAGTGGCTAGGGTTTCACATCGCAGATCGCGATAGCGACGGCGGCAGTTAGCTTTGGTTTGTCACCGTCAAGCTATCTTGTGAAGCCAGCAAGATCACAGAAGGTTGATCGCGAAGAGAAAATGAGGAGGTGGGCGATGGTGAAGAGAAAGAGAGGAGGTGGCGATGGCGATCGTGGTTAGGTTTTCAGATCGTGATCACGGCGTCGATGGCTGTGGTGGCGGTAGGCGATGACAGAGCAGATCGTGCCCTAGCCACGACCTTTAGTTTGTGAGAGAGAGAGAGAGAGAGAGAGAGAGAGAGAGAAAAAAAGAAAGAGCTCTGGTTTAAGATCGCAACACGACGGTGAGCTCTAGTTTCAGATCGCGACAGTGTGGATCGATTGTGATGTGGAGCTCTGGTTTTGTGATCGCGACAATGAGCCCTGGTTTGAGATTGTCACGTCATCGATGGCGGTGGTTAGGGCTAGAGTTGTCGACGTTGGAAATCGCCTACGCACGTCAAAAATCACCTCCGTCTCTCTCTGGTTTGTGAACAGTGTTAAGATGTGGTTTATATATTTGGGTTTTGGGTAATAATTGAAATTGATGAGGGGCATTTAAGTAATCTTGCCCCTCCAATACAGCTTTCCGCTTAAGCTGTATTGCTTAAGCACCTCCCAAGCCACTTTTCAAAATTCATGGTTTTTGGCTTAAATTAAGCTGCCAAAAGCTTAATTAAGTTTAACCAAACACTCTTAATTTTAGCCAAAAACTAAGTTGAGCTTCTTATAAACTATGCCAAACGGGCACACCATTATAGTTGTTTTAGTTGATTAAAAGTTGATTTATTTTATTTTATTTTTTTAAAAAAGTATGTAAATAAAAAACGATATCACCAAAAATAAATTAAAAGTCAATTTTTAACTTTTAATAAGTTATTTCTCTCTCTCTCTCTCTCTCTCTCTCCCTCCCTCCCTCGAAAAGTCTATTTTTCTTGTAAATGAGAGTTTGGAAGTAGCAGAGGATTGGAGGTTGAAGAGGCCCAAGTAAGCGAACAAAAATGATTTACCTTTGATTTTTCATTTTAATTTTTTTCACTTCTTTTTTTGGCGAAGAATTGTGTTATTTATGATGGTTGGAATTTGATATTATTTCATTGAAGAAGTCAGTTATGGTATTTTATTTGTTTTAGTAATGTCACTTTAATGCCATTCTGTAAGAAAGTTTAAAACCCTAATTTAGCATACCCAGATGATTAGCACCCTCTTTCATCGACACCCTTTTAAAGTTGTGTTTGGATTCAACCTAAGCTTTCATTGTCTGTTTCAACATTTTAGTCAAACCTTGATTTCAGAATTCATCATTCTCAAGATTTTCAAGAATTTGTAGCTGAATACAAAAATAGAATCCATTTGAACTCATAGCATCGGTACAATGCAAAATTTTGACTTGATTATTTGAATCATAGAATTTCTTGCGTGTGACAAAGAAGTAACCTACTTGAAACATTTTTTGCCATTCAGTATGCTCAGTTAAATTAAATAAAATCATATTTTTTAACTAACGCATCGTATGTCAATTTAGGTCTTTCCCTCCCCGTAGCCTCTCCACTTATGAAGTAATCCAACTGGTGAATTTAAAAGGCAGAAGAATGCATATTACTATTCCAGCAGATGTATTATGGGAAATCTTTTTAAAATAAGTATGTTTGTTTAGTCCCAATTGGATGGGGTTTGGAAGGGTAGATTAGTGCAAGTATTTCCTTTGGTGTTATATGCATAATAATGTTGAACTTGAATTCTTAAAACTACTAGTTAAAATCTCTCAAAAACTTTCAGTGTCTTTCCAATTATCTATTGCTTACCATTATTGACAGAAACAAAACAAAAAAAAAAAAAAAAAAAAATCCTAAATAGGAATGACAATGGATGACTTACCCAGTGGGTACCCTGGAGACCCGACCTGAATACATGGGGTTTCTCCTTTTGTTTTGCCCGTCGGGTCGGGTAGGTGGTATTGTTTAAATGTCCATCAGGGATGGGTACCCGCCCATATGTTTTGACTACCCTATTTAGAGCTAGGGTTCTCAATCTCAATCTCGTCCTTTATCACAATCGCTACCCTAAGTATATTGCGAGGTTGTCATTTTTCTGTTTCTTCATTCATCATCGACGAAGAGCACGTTGCTTGGTTGCTGGGAAAAGGTAGGACAGGAAAGAAAATAAGATTTTGAGTCTTCTTGATCATTGTCTCCAATTTCTTTGTAAAACTATTTGGCTTGGTTTATTCGTGGTGAGTTTTGAATTCCATGAAAATGAAAGAATGTAATTCAAGGTTCGAAATCTTTTAATCTTTCTCCGTTTTCTCACCAAACCGATTTTTATGCTTTTTAATTGATTTCATAAATGTATGTACAACAAACACATACATTTAATATTTATTATATCTGTATGGATTCAGATTACTGCGTTGAAGGGAAAATAAGGCCGTTGTTTTTGAAGAATTTTTTAAAAAAGGGGTAAAGTTGGGTTGGGGAAAACCCAAACCCATTAGGGAATGGGGAGGGTAATCTTCATGCACTACTAGAAATATGGCCTTTTAAATCTATATTTTTTGCGATCGACCATTTGGCAGTCGCAAAAAAAATTATTGCGATGACAAAAATTACTGCCGCAAAAGATAGATTTAGATAATTTTATTTACTTCAAAACTGTATAATTTTGCTTGTGTTCCTAGCTATAATTTATTTTTCCTTTTATTTCTTTATTTATTTCACCTTCCCTTATATGCATCCCTAGATCTTTTTAAGCTCATATGGCAGCAGACCTGAATCGCTCTCTCTCTCTCTCTCTCTCTCTAGCCACACACATATATCATACAAGGAAGCTCTGGTTCAACTCATTCCTTTCTCATCCACGTACAGGTACAAACTGAACTATCCAAGTCTTAATAGTTATCATTCTTGATGTAAATTTGAGAATATATATATATATATATATATATATTTGTTCGTATTGATCAATCTAAAGTTTTTTGTGAATGGACATTTGATTCATTTCTCGAAAAGGCCTTATTCTCTGTTACTTTTTCATGAGAGAGAGAGAGAGGGGATGATATATATATAATGAAGGTCTGAAATTCGCAATTTGAAATCTTAATTTTTGAAAAATGTGTCTGAATTGGGCCTTGAAATTGTATTATGTTTTGATGCGAATTTGTTTTGTGTAACGACATAAGCAATTTTGTTAGCTCGAGTTCCTTTTTTTTTTTTGTTGAAATTTTCATTTAGTTTCACCAATCTAGTTTTTAGTTTTTCAATTTTTTTTTTTTCAATTTGAAAACTAAACCAAAGATGATTTTGAAGTTTTGGATGATAATCATGTTACTCCTTGATTTTTGGACGGTTAAAATTGCCAATTGTTGAAGAATTTCTTAGTGTTAGTGTTAACTTAATTGGTTTTGTGATTAATTTTTTTATGTATTTTTGCTTGAAGATGCCGAGCATGAGTTTTGGATGATAATCATGTTACTCCTTGATTTTACAAGTATATCTTTGAGATCAATTATGCTTGATGCTACGTAGTATTTCATAAAATTTAAAAAATATATGTTGTATTTCGATTCTTCACCATTGTTATTCTGCTGGTTGGATTAATCTTTTGTAGAATGGGAGGTTGGCTCTTCATTATTAAATTAAATGCTCTTGACATTTGTGATTGAAAATTCTAGTTCTATTGAAAAATCCATTTGAAAATCTAGATTTGTCCCGTGATGAGTGATTGTTGATTTAGTTAATCCAAATTAAAAATTATACAACCATGATTAATGTAGATAAAAGAGAGAGTAAGAAAAAAAAAATCCACCATGACACAAAATACTTTTTACATGAAAAAATCACAATTGGAATCCACCAACTTATGATAAAAAAACCACGGGCCCTCGGTCAAGCAAACAATCCACTATAAAATAAAAGAGTATAAGAGATATCTTACAAAGGCTACTCCGGGGACACGCGTTTGCTCAACCTATGAGTAACATTTCTTTCTCCACTGGATCTCTGTAATGGTTGTTGAATCGCCACGACGCCAATGATTTCGGAATCAACCGAAATCTACAATCTTGGAATCCACCAAGAAGGTTCACAAATAAAAGGTGTGAAGGACTTTGTGCAGCTTGATGATTAGCTTTGAGGTTCTTAGACGCTAATGAATCATTAAGCACATGAGAGTATTACAAGTAATCCTCACTGCAACGTTCCCTCTTAAACACTCAACGAAATCTCTTTACAAAAATGTATCTTACTCATAAAAATGATCTCTCAAAAGATAAAAATACTTAAGAAGAGTTTGGGAGAGAGTACTCAGAAACAAGTGTGAGGGATACAAAATAAATCAGCCGAGATGCCTTAAATAGGCCTAGGCCAAGGACCATCGCGGGTGCGCACATCATGGTCGCGGTCGCGGTCATGGTCATGGGGGTCACGGGCGTGACCAGTCTTCACGGGATGCAGACAAAACTTATGGGAGCTATTTGGTCACGGGCGCAATGGTGAAGTCCGCGGGCGCGATGAAGCATGCTTGCCAACAACTTTTGCAGACTTTTTGCTGTTGAAAATCTCCATGTTTGTTCCATGTTTTTCCAGACAAACGACTTCCCTTTTGGGCTGGAAAAAGTCATCATTCTCACACATGCTTGTCTTCAAAGATTGTTAACAAGATTAGCCAACAAACCATCCATAAAAATTGACTTCTGAAATTAAAAAACAAAACTTTCTCCCATGCTTAAGCCACAAGGTCAAGCAAAATCACACAAGCCCATGAATCTTCGAGCCACACAATCTGCATCTTTCAATTTACAAAATCAAGAAGATGATGCACATGCTAGATCACCAAATTGTCACAAATTGACAAACAAGAAAAGAAAAAACTATAGCCAACAAAGATCTTAAAAAATCCAATAAAGGAAGAAACAAAGTGAAACATTGTTTGTCACGGGATTTGCCAAAACAAGTTGCAAAGCAATGAACAATTAGGATGAAAATCCTAACAGTGATATGTAATGGCTTATGACTAAAAAAACAATATTTTGTATGTTAAGTGATGTCATCAATTCTGTTCTATGAACTGTTCTGTTCGATTATGTATGTTGAATTCTGATTGGGATTGCAAGAATTGATCACCCAGGTTTGTTGATGCTCATGCACTGTTTTTTCCCTTCTATTGCTTCAGAGTTATACAGTTGATGAGAGGTAATTTTAGTTGTTGATGCTCATGCTTTGTTTTTTCCCTTATTGAATGACACTTGATAGATATAGAGAAAATATTTTTTGGATAAAAATTCATATCTAATTTATAGAATGTACAACATGAAAGCTAGAAGAAGGTGAATATTGGCCTTGGGGTGGGAAAGTAAATGTGTATGGCATGTAGATGATTTTGGTTGAAAAATTCATATCTATTGCATCAAAGTGAACATTGATTTTGGTTTTGATTCTTTTGAGAGTTATAGTAGATTGTAGATATCTATCTTATACTTCAAACACCACTGGCTTGTGGCACCACTGTTATTACTTCCTTTTAGTCTAGTACATAAATTAATGTAATAAATTGATATTCAATTATTGAACACAAGAACGACTGCGTAAAGCAGAGAATTGTTTCAGTGAAGGGACTATCTAATTTTAATTAATTCATTCATTAATCAGTTAGTAATTGGTAATAGGGGGTTGCTTTGATGGGTGTGAGTGTAGCATTGCTCTTGTTTTATTTCTAGCTCCCTTCCTTTGACTTTCTTATTTTATTTTTATTAGTTTTCTCTGGTCATATCAGTGCTGGATATCTTCTTGTTCATTTTCTCTTTTGCTTATGGTTTAAATGTTATTCTTGCAAATTGCCTAAAAGTTTTACAATACTAAAGAAAAGAAAATGTAAGAACACATCGATTTTGCTGCCTAAGTTTGTGTGCTACTTAAACTCAATTTCCAGAGTTTAAACCTAATATATAAGACTGCATTGCACGACTTTTCCTCCCCAACATTCTTCTGTTGTTGTGGGTTCCCTTTTCGTCTTTCTCCTCATTCCTTTTGCATATGCATTGTTTATTATTTTGCTTTTTAGTTGTACTTATATGTTATTTTTGTGTTTATTAGTTTTTATTGAGCTTTGTGAAATGTAGTTGATTATGATATTATTATTTTGAGCTTTCAGTCTTCATAAATACTCAATTGCTCATTTTCTTCAACAATTTTGTGGCAGCGGCCCATCCTAATCATCAGCAGCCCCTTCATTTATTGATGAGATCACACAACGTGTGACATAACACATTGAGTCTAGGTTCACTACAACGATCGAGAACCTGACGGCACGTGTTTTGTTCTTAGAGTCACAGGGTGTGGTTGGGAGTAAGAGCTCGAGAGAGGTGCAATACTTACAAAATGATGAATTTTACGTTTGATCAAATTTGTATATATACATATGGAAATTATTAACACGTTAAAGTAACATATTGTAGGTGCCAGATGCATCTAGTGGGCAACAAGCTTCAAAAGAAGATGAACAAGTATGCCACTATTCAAACAAATTTTGAGCAATCCATAATCTGATTTGGTGTTGGTTGTTGCATATATAATAAATTGCTATATATGTCAAAGATGAAATTGACATCTCTTAGAAAAAGAATAAGAGTGTCTAAATCATGACGACCCAAAATAAATAAGAACTTAACGCTGTATTTGGTTGGGAGATTTAGGGAGGGATTTGGAAAAGGAAAAAGAAAATGTGTGTGAAACTATGTGAAATGTAGGTATATTTTATTCACATTTCACTTATATTTTTCCTTTTTCTTTCCAAATCCCTTCCTAAATCTCCAACCAAACACAGCATAAGAGAAGAAAGTATATAAGGTCACAATTACTTTTTGACCATCTCTTATGATGTTGACTTGTTATAGTATTAATTTATTTTTTTTAATCTGTATTTTTGCATGTGAAGAGTCTAAACCCATTTGGCTCGATTGGCAAAGACTTCAAAAGTCAGGGCATCCAAATTGGTTTCACTGAATTAATTTATGTGTATATATTTGATGCTGCAATTGGGTTTAATGTGGAAACAATGCTATATAACAACATAAAGTTTCAAGTTTGGGATCTGGGTATGCCAACTATTACTTTTGATTATCTGTGTTATCTTATCTATTTCTAGATCATTATTGTAAATATATTATTGTTTGTCCCAAAGTAGTTATTGTGCATTATGTCCTAAGGCCATCTCCAACGGTTCATCAAACTTGGTATTAGATTTGAAATTTGATGAAAAAGTCACTTTTTCTCACTCCAATGGTTTCACCAAATTGATATCAAAATGAGAATAGAACAAAATTTTCATCACAGTGAGAACACGCTGTAGATTTCAGTATTTCACTGTGCGTTACCGTTGGGCGTGGCCAACCAGTCGGATGTCTGGCCGGTTGACCAACCGGTCGACCGGTTCCCTTTCAAATAGATAGGTTCAAACAGGTCAAAAGGTTCAAACAGGTTTAAAAAAAAAAATTAGCCTTACCGGTCGACCCACCGGATGACCCTTCCCTTTTGATGCACCGTTGGAGCAACCCATATCAGATTGAGAAAATTGGCTTTTTTTTACTCAAATTTGGTGAAAATTTTGGTTCACCGTTAGAGATACTCTAAGTGCTTTGTACTGGGTTATAATAATTAATTGCAATTTGTAAATAACAGCCTTCTTGTAATTTTTAGATGGATAAAACTAGGTTGAAATTCATGCATTTTAGTACTTTGGATGCTTAGTGGGTGGGCAAGTGGATACATTTCATATGCATGCGACTCAGGTGTTGGGTTGCTGATTTTTTCTTAGTAGATCCTGACTTATCTGAACCTTTTTAGTTAAACCACTTTGATGAATAAATTACTAGTAATGCTCCTACCAAAAATGTTAGTTTGGAGTTGTTATGCATATGCACTAGATATTTTTTCGTTTTTGATATGCACTTGGGCATTGTGATAAAATATTGGAATATTTGCTTGAAAGAAGTGACAACTATACAGGTACTACTATTGAAAAATGTGAATCATATGCTTGAGAAATTAGTTACTTGACTTGTTTAAGAATATGTTATGTTCTGGGTGTTTCCATTGTTTGTTGGAGGATAGTTGATGTTGTTGCTGATAATTGTTGCATCTGTGAGAAAAGATAGAAAATTTATTGCCCTCTTGGTAGTACTAGTGGTGTTATAGAAAATTTATGTTTTTGTCTTTGGTGTATTTACAGGTTAGCTTCGCAATTGATGAACACTTGAGAGTCAAGAAAAGAAAAGCACACACAAGGATTAAATGTTCTAATCCTACTGATTTTGCACATTTTTTAGTTTTGATTTAACACACTAATAGTTTTTCAAAATGTATGTTTTGATGTGTTTAATGTCAGGTATTTGGTTCTTGATTTAGCAAGCATATGTTACTGCTCTGTGTATGTAAACCTGGAAAATATTGACTTGCTTGTTCCCTCTTTCTTTGTTTTGCTAGATTTGTCTCAAATAAATGGTTTGACACTATTGTTTTCAGCGGGATCTTATTTGGTAGATTCGTCTCAAAATATTTGTCGCTAAAATGTCATTGAAAATTATTCACGACGGTAACAAGATGGTCGCTAATAGATTGTAGGCATTTTTTTTTAGTTTTTTGCGACGGCAAAACATCAGTCGCTATAAGTAGGTTGGGCGGTCGCAAATAGTTTGCAACTGCTTTTTGCAGTCGCAAAAAGTATTTGCCACCCCCACATTCGCATCCCTCATTTGTCATCGCATGGCTCATCGCAAAAGGTCTTTTGCGACTGTATTTCTATTTTTTGCGACTTTTTATAGCGATCGCTAAAAATGCTTATTTTAGTAGTGATGGGGGATGGGGAATGAAAAATATTTATAATAAGGGAATGGGGATGGGGAATTAATATCCGCCCTCTTGCTCCCCATTGACATTCCTATTCCTAAATATAAAAATGCATTTTAAAAGATAAAAACCACTGCCCTGGGGAGTTGATACTTTGATGTTTTCTGTTTCTTTCAATAATTGATGACAAGAGATATGATACTGGGCTATTCCTTATTGTTTTTTTATTTTGTGCCAGGAAATGGAATCACAGACATTAACTACACAGGGGAGCTGATACTTTGATTTGGTTATGTTTGCTGATTGATAGAATAGTTGGAAACATGAAGAAAATGTGTGGGCCAACTTCAGACATAATCACTTATCTTCCAAACAATGTAAAAGAAACAATCTTGATGTCTTTGCCATTACAAGATGCAGTGAGGACTAGTATTTCGTCAAGGAAATGGAGGTATACGTGGGCCAGACTTCCCCAACTTGTATTTGATGATAAGTTCTGCAGAGAATCGATCAGAAATCAGAAGAATGAACTTATTAAGACTATTTATCAAGTTCTGCTGCTTCATCGTGGATCAATACTTAGGTTCACTCTTTCTTTATCTGGACTTGAAGGCTGTTCTGAGATCGACTAGTTGGTACTTTTTGTTTCAAACAATGGTATCCAGGAATTCAAACTTCACATTCGGAAGGGTGAACCTTATAAATTGCCATCATCACTATTTTCAGGTCTTCAACTTAAGGATTTGACTCTCCGTTCTGGTATGTTTAAGCCTCCACCTGAAGAATTTAAGGGGTTTAGGAGTCTCCTTCGCCTGGAGCTTTGCAAAGTTGCCATTACAGCCAACATATTTTCAAGTTTAATCTCCAGTTGCCCACTTCTTGAAGAACTGACACTTGAAGACTGCAGCAGTTTAGATTGCCTTGAAATTTACGTTCCTAATCTTATATTCTTATTCTACGAAAGCCATGTTCGTTCTATTTGTTTTAAAAATACCCCTCATCTTGCAAAAGTTTCAATCGGTTTGAAAGTGCACACAAACGAGGAAACACTCAAGGAAGGAGAAACATCTAATATGGTCTTGTTTTTTGATAGTCTACCCGCCATTCAGTTTTTGGAATTAGACTATTATTATGTTCATGGAAGATTAGTAAACCATGTTTTTTTTTTTGGCCATGGGGTTAGCTTAAGTAACTGATGTTTCTCTAATTTTTTTTTTTTTTCTTTCTTTAGTACATGGCTGCAGGTGGGGTACCAAAGAGGCTTCCAATTACTCTGAGCCACCTTAAAATTATCGATTTGTATGCTATTTGTTTTGGGGAAGTCAATGAGGTTTCTATTGTTCTTTGCTTAATCAGAAGCTCCCCAAATTTGGAAAAAATTATAATTGAGGTTAAGTAATGACATATTTTATTATTTCCTGTGTTTATATATAATGTATATTTTGAATCTTTAGGCTGAGACAATTTTGCTTTCTTCTTTCCAGGTTTGTACCCATGAAACTACTGCTATTGATCATGTTCTAGAACTTTTAGAAATTCAAGACTGGTCAGATGTCTCTTTAAATCAACTTCGAGAAGTGGAGATCCGAAATCTATCTGGAACAAGGTTTGAATTGGAGTTTATTAAGCTTCTATTAGCCAAATCCCCTATGCTGGAAACAATGCTTATTGAGCCTGACTTGGAGAAAGTTGCTGACAAAGGATTTAGGATTTTGAAAAAGTTGACAAGATTTCGGCGCTCCTCACCAAAAGCAAAAATCACATACAATGATCCAGATGGAAGTCGCAATGAAAATGAAACCCCTGAAGATTAAGTTTAGCAAATGGTTTGTGTCCTTTTTTACTAGCTTTGGTTTGAGTGACACAGTAAGATGATCTTTTTGGTATTCATTCTCTACTAAGTCTAAGTAACAACTGCTAATGAGATTCACTATGGGAAAGTGGAACATCTAGGGAAAAGAAAAAAACAATGCTCTCCATTTTGGAAAAATCAATCTACTTCAACATTTAAACTTATGAAATTTGGTTGATATTTTTGGTAATAGATAGTACAATGATGTATGCATCAATTTTCCCCCCAATCCCATTACCTCTTCCCCATTCAAGGTACAATGGAACTTGCAATTGACACTGATATACACACTTCACACATTTTTATTTTCCTCTTAAATTATCCTTAGTTATTGCACCTTTCTACTTGTTTGGATTATATTTCCCCTGTTTTTAAAGTTTAGGGTAATGTACAACATTGCCATGAATCAGGTGAGTGGAAATCACAATGAAAATTTTGTCTAATTTTAGACAATGTTCGCCATCTATGAAATCTGAATGAAAAAGCACAATTTAGAAGTGGTATAGTTGAAGGGTTTTATTTACAAATGAATGACGTCTTGGGTTCCTGCAAATCTTTTGCATTTTGGCGGTGGAAATTGATTTGCAAACAAAAGTAACACAGAAAATTCAAAAAGAATGGTATGACAATAGTGTTTTTGAAATAATAAATTACTTTCATTGGTTTTTTGTTTGACATGAATCAATGCAAATATTTCTGAAGGAGATGTGGGTGTCGAGGGGTAGGAAATGGAGGGGGTTGGGGTGGTGGTGGAGTAGAAGATGACTTTTTTCATTTTTTTGTGTTCAAGTTCTGTTCAAACGTGATGTTCGATTGTCAAATGCTAAACAATCTTGATTTGTTTGATGAACTAGGATAGAATGAAGTTTCAACTCTCTTTTTTTACCTACCATTAGTCTATCCCTTTCAGTCCTTCTATGATTAAAAGGAATGTGAGGGTAATTATATAAAAAATGTAGGAGCGATTGTATTTTTTTCAAACATGAATGTAATTTATTCAAAAATCAATGCTAAACACCTAAATATAGAATATAAATATTTTTAAGACAAAATTTAGAAAGTATGTTTGGGAACAACCTTAAAAGATTAATTTTTAACTCTAAAAAGTCAAGAAAATTACTAAACTATTTGTCATGAATTAGAAAAAGGAAAATTTCACATTAATTTTCACTTACGAAAGGTATACTTTTTATAAAATCTTTCTAAACAAATTAACCTTTTAAAAAATGAAAAATAAAAAACAAATCCCAAACACCCCACTAAATGGTCACGTTGCGTATTCTTGTCTATTTAGAAAACTGCTAACAGAGTTTGGAAGTAGTAGGGGTTAGGATGTTGAAGAAACCCAAGTAAGCGACCAAAAATATTTCCATTTGATTTTTCTTTTCTTTTTTTTCTACGACAAATTGTGTTATTTTCTTAATATGATGGTTGAATCTGATATTGTTTCATTGAAGAACTCAGTTATAATATTTGATTAGTTTCTGTAATATTAATTTAATGCCATTCTGTAAAAAGGTTAAAACCCTAAATGATTTAGGCATACACATTGAGCACCAGATGAACAGCACCCCCTTTTATCAACACCCTTTTAAAGTTGTGTTTGGATCATGGAAAAAGATTCAACCTAAGCTTTCATTGTCTGTTGTCACATTTTAGTCTGTTCTTTTATGCCTAGAAATGAGTCATTGTGTATGATACCATGTTTAGGCATTTGAGGCTATCATATCAGTGGGTTTTGGGGTGTATTTTGATGCATAGAAACTCTGTTTTGGTTGCTTAGTTCACGCCATGAGTGCTTGGGGTAGGTGTTGAGCAATGCTCTCTTTTGTGGCCTTGAATCCCTTCCATTTTTGCATCCATTCCCTAGCATGTTTTGGCATCATTCTTGGCATGCTTTTCAGAGTTTAACATGAGTGTTTAATGTCCATGTATATCACCTTTGAGTGTTCTTGAGAGTAGCCCTCCATGCTTGGGTGATGGGCCTTGGCGTGTGCACACTTGCATGCATAATTTGTCTCTTTTTGCATCATCTTTTGGCCACTGTTTTGGGGTGTGGCTGAGGCCTCCCATTTCGGTTTAAGTCCCACCTTGTGTATAGTTGCATGTTTGACATATTGCCTCTAATTACATGTTTACATTATACCATGCTTGTATCACATGTTAGGTTGCATCGCATTGTAGCATTGCATACTTGGCACATTACATTCTTGCATGATGGGTTGCCTTGCATTTGGCATGCCTTGTAACTTAACCTCATGTTGCATATTCGAGCCACGTTACATTTTTGAGCCACGTTTGTATACATGCATTGCATGGTTTGGTATGGGGTGTCAAATCAAGCATGAGGGGTGAGGTGCGTTCGTACTCAAAGTGACGAAATATGCCTCAACCCTCGTTCGCCAATGCCCTTGACCCCAACATGATAGGGCATAAGGCATTCATTTCTTTTATGCATGTATCTACATTAAGTTACAAACTTGGTGTCTTAGGCCATCATGCATCAAAATGCGTGATTGGTGGCCCGAGTATCGAGGGTCACGCTCCCATGAGTCCATAGCATGATTGGGAGAGTGGCTATGCATACATTGCTTTGAATTTTCTTGCCATGCACTGTCTGCCCTCTGCTGCTATCAAAAACAGGTTTCTGCAGGAAGAAATGGCCGGCTGGCCACATACAGTGCCGACCGACCATCAATGTCCAGCTAGTGGTGTAACTTTTGGCCGATAAGCCCATCCCCATGGCCAGTGAACTTGAATTGTGGCCGGTGACACCCCAGAGCACTCAGAGGGTGATTTAAAATGGGTCTGGAGACTTTCAGAATTTTCAGAGGAGCAAGGCAGTGTAAACAGAGGCAATAGTGGCATGGCACGGGTTTTCGGGCGGGGCGAGTCGAGCATGCATCATCCTAGCATTCCGAGGCGGGGCTGCGGCCATCCTCTTTCTGCATTTAATTTGTTAATTAAATAGAAGATGTGTAATATTTAATTAGTTAGAAGAGTTAATTATTTATTTGTTTTGTAATATTTATTCGGACCCCCCGAGCGAGGGCAATTGTGTAATAAGTGTGTGTGAGTGTGTGTATGTCTTCCAACCCCACGTCTTTCTTCCCTTTTTATTTACTAGCTTTCAATGGTTAGTATTAGGGCATATTTAAATTAGCATACCCTATGCTTTGCATTCGTGCATCTATCCATCTGTATTGCATGCACTAGGCTCAGTGCACCATACTAACTGCATTGTATTTCAATTCCAAGTTGAATACGTGTTAGCTGTGGCATCATCATATACCATTCTTAGATTAGCCGAGCCTATTCTAGTTGCATTCTGAATGTGTTGCATTAGCCATCTTAACATGAACTAGGATCATGCATTTGATTACTAACAAGTTTCAGTTTTGGCTTGGAGTACTAGGTAAGCTCTTATGCTTTAGCATCTTGCATGCGTGTGAGTGTTGCCATATTAGCATGTTTACCATAAGGCTATACGCTTATGTGACATAACTGCCTGAATGCTTGTGGGTGAAGGTTGGGTTATTTGAATTGGGACAATGCATTGGATGCGAGTTTTAAGCCCACTTGGAAGTGGCAAAACCATATTTTCTAAGCCCACTTGAGGGTGGAAAAATCAGTGTCTTAGCCTACTTACGGGTAGCATCATCAAACCATTTTCAAACAAACAAACATGAAATGTTTCATTCCAATTCAGGCGACCTAGTCTATACTTGTTTGTTGTGCGCATAACATAGTAAATCTAGGCTAATAACCAGAATAAGAACGCATAATGTTTTCAAAACTAGATATCATGGTTAGTAGAGGCCGATCTTCGGATCGGGTGAGAGGGGGTGCTCATAGCTGACCTTCCCCAATCGTACCCAAGTTCTCGAGCCGAGGTAACTTTGGTGATGATGGACATGTGGCCTTAGGCAATGAGTCAGGGTTTCCTAAATTCCCCCAAAATAAAATATTTAGGTGGCGACTCTGTATCTGGCAAAGCAGTCCATGTTTGACACTTCTTTTCTAAATATCTGTTTTTCTCAAAACGATTTGCTGGATTTGGACTCTTTGGTTCAGATTAAGAACCGTGACAATTTGAGTCCGAACTGTAGTGAGCCCAATATGAACAGAACGGTATTCATCCTCTGGGGCGTTCAGGGACGTCTACAACATGGCTGCAGGTGGGGTACCAAAGAGGCTTCCAATTACTCTGAGCCACCTTGAAATTATCGATTTGTATGCTATTTGTTTTGGGGAAGTCAATGAGGTTTCTTTTTTTTTCTTTGCTTAATCAGAAGCTCCCTAAATTTGGCAAAAATTATAATTGAGGTTAAGTAATGACATATTTTATTATTTCATGTGTTTATATATAATGTATATTTTGAATCTTTAGGCTGAGACAATTTTGCTTTCTTCTTTCCAGGCATGTACCCATGAAACTTCTGCTATTGATCATGTTCTAGAACTTTTAGAAATTCAAGACTGGTCAGATGTCTCTTTAAATCAACTTCGAGAAGTGGAGATTCGAAATATTTCTGGAACAAGGTTTGAATTGGAGTTTATTAAGCTTCTATTAGCCAAATCCTTTATGCTGGAGACAATGCTTATTGAGCCTGACTTGGAGAAAGTTGCTGACAAAGGATTTAGGATTTTGAAAAAGTTGACAAGATTTCGGCGCTCCTCACCAAAAGCAAAAATCACATACAATGATCCTGATGGAAGTCGCAATGAAAATGAAACCCCTAAAGATTAAGTTTAGCAAATGGTTTGTGTCCTTTTTTACTAGCTTTGGTTTGAGTGACACAGTAAGATGATCTTTTTGGTATTCATTCTCTACTAAGTCTAAGTAACAACTGCTAATGAGATTCACTATGGGAAAGTGGAACATCTAGAAAAAAAAACAATGCTCTCCATTTTTGAAAAATGAATCTACTTCAACATTTAAACTTATGAAATTTGGTTGATATTTTTGGTAATAGATAGTACAATGATGTATGTATCAAATTTTCCACCAATCCCATTACCTCTTCTCCATTCAAGGTACAATGGAACTTGCAATTGACACTGATACACGCG